ATATATACTGATCACTATATACTGATCACCTATATATACTGATCACCAGTATATACTGACCACCTGTATATACTGACCACCTATATATACTGACCACCTGACCACCTATATATACTGACCACCTATATATACTGATTACCTCTATATACTGATCACCTATATATACTGATCACCTATATATACTTACCACCTATATATACTGATCACCTATATATACTGATCACCTGTATATACTTATCACTATATACTGACCACCTATATATACTGATCACCTATATATACTGATCACTTATATATACTGATCACCTATATATACTGATCACCTCTATATACTGTTCACCTATATATACTGACCATCTATATATACTGATCACCTTCTGACCACCTATATATACTGATAACCTATATATACTGACCATCTATATATACTGACCACCTCTATATACTGATCACCTATATATACTGACCACCTATATATACTGATCACCTACTGACCACCTTTATATACCGACCACCTATATATACCGATCACCTTCTGACCACCTATATATACTGACCACCTATATATACTGATCACCTTCTGACCACCTATATATACTGATCACTATATACTGATCACCTATATATACTGACCACCTATATATACTGATCACCTATATATACTGATCACCTATATATACTGATCACTATATACTGATCACCTATATATACTGATCACTATATACTGATCACCTATATATACTGATCACCTATATATACTGATCACTATATACTGATCACCTATATATACTGATCACTATATACTGATCACCTATATATACTGACCACCTATATATACTGACCACCTATATATACTGATCACTATATACTGATCACCTATATATACTGATCACCTCTAGATACCGATCACCTATATATACTGATCACCTTCTGACCACCTCTATATACTGACCACCTACATATACTGACCACCTATATAAACTGATCACCTATATATACTGACCACCTATATATACTGATCACCTATATATACTGATCACTATATACTGATCACCTGTATATACTTATCACTATATAGTGACCACCTATATATACTGATCACCTATATATACTGATCACTTATATATACTGACCACCTATATATACTGATTACCTCTATATACTGACCATCTATATATACTGACCACCTATATATACTGACCACCTATATATACTGATCACCTTCTGACCACCTCTATATACTGATCACCTATATATACCGACCACCTATATATACCGATCACCTTCTGACCACTTATATATACTGATTACCTATATATACTGATCACCTTCTGACCACCTATATATACTGATCACTATATACTGACCACCTATATATACTGATCACCTCCCGACCACTTATATATACTGACCACCTATATATACTTATCACCTTCTGACCACCTATATATACTGATCACCTATATATACTGACCACCTATATATACTGATCACCTATATATACTGATCACCTATAATACTGATCACCTTCTGACCACCTATATATACTGATCACCTTCTGATTACCTATATATACTGATCACCTATATATACTGATCACCTATATATACTGATCACTATATACTGATCACCTATATATACTGATCACCTATATATACTGATCACTATATACTGACCACCTATATATACTGACCACCTATATATACTGATCACCTATATATACTGACCACTTATATATACTGACCGCCTATATATACTGATCACTATATACTGATCACCTATAATACTGACCACTTATATATACTGACCACCTACATATACTGATCACTATATACTGATCACCTATATATATATATACTGATCTACGTTTTCTTAATCCCTATATATAGCTTCCTTGTGTATATTTCGGTATTTTGATTTTACCATTAGATTGGGTTTATTATTAGTCTGTAGCTTTAATAACGCCTTAACTGTAGACACAATTATGCCGGCCTGTGTATCTTCTTTCACACACACATCTTAATCAGATCGCGCCAGTTTGAAATGTAAACGAGATGACTAGTACACAAAATCAAACATCAAAGTGGCACGGTAATTGCAGGTGTAGGAATTAATTAACTTTTAATTGATAAACAGTATCACGTGCTTTCATTTCCGCTATATATGTAGTACTGTTCTTTTGGTTGTATACAGCTATTGATTCTGTTACAAATTGTATTTATTTTGATAACCATAAGTATCACTTGCACAAATCCACATTTAAACGTCATGCATTCATTGCACATATATTATGATAAAAGCATATATGTATAATTAATTTCGAATGCAAAACAGATTTAATGTGTTAATTTGTCTTGTCAATCTCACTTACCCGTGGAAGATGCAAAATCTGACAGGTAAATCCCGAAAATCAATAGAAATAACACAGAATAAGGGTCAGTCCCACCCATGATAGTGTCCAGGTTTACTGGACACCGGACTGGACGCTGGAAACACTCGGATCCTTATTTTTTTTACATATACAGCACTCAGAAAATCCAAATAACGAGTACCTTGGGTACATACAATTTGCCTGCTAACCTATGGGACTTTAAAGACAGAGTAGTGTTATATCGGTAACCAGTTATATATAGAGCGTACCCTGAATATGCGGTAAATTTTCTATATTGTTTGATTAAAAAAATACCTTACTGCAATTGGTTGACACTTTTAATGTTAAATGATTCAGAAAAGTGTGTGATCTTCTTGTTCCGAAACAAAGTGCTGTAGTTGACATTCACTCTTGTATTTTCATGTCCGGTCGTACTTGAGATATTTAGAATGTGTTTCTTAAGAAATACTTACTTTTGAAATCTATTAACCTAATAGAATTTGAGCTATTATTACACATTATACTGATTTCGACTAAAAAAGGCTGACTGTTTGCAGGTTGATACAAAGCACACACGGTGAGATTTTCTGAAAGTACCAGTCTTTTTATTTAGTGGATCTGAACTTAGTGCCCATTCATATTCATTGATGTTGTCGTAGTGTACTCCTAATGACTTCCTTGCTTAATTTTTGCTTTTGCTAAGACCACGAAGATTTCAACCATCGAAATATCATTCTTGCATTTGCACTAAATTTCAATGAGATTAGTATGAAATTGTTATTTTATTTTCGTCGATTACGTGGGTACTCTTAATCCACGAGCGAATATAATTAATTAAGGACATTTGTTAAGCTGTATTTATTTACGAAACCAAATGTCCACGAAATAGCGCGGTTTTTTTTTAAATCTACGAAAATTGAGCTCCTCGAAAATATATGATTTTACATTATAATTTGCTTTTGCGAGACTCCCGGAAATCGTCCATTAATCAAAATTATTCGACATATCTTATGAATTTTAAGTTTTGAAAATGATGTTTTTTAAAGTTTTGTACAACTGTGTTACGTTCCACTGTCTGTGCCGCCATGTTGTTACGATTTAAATAACTAACGACAGAAAAGAATTAAGTACATGTTTATCAGAGATGTTTTGTTTGATTTTACTTAATTTGAAGTTAATTGTGGGTGTTTCCTCATATAAAATTCGTCACCATTGACTGCGCGCTGCTAAGGTTCTATTTAAGAATACACAATATAACTCACAAAATTTCATTACACAGCTCAATTCTACACTGAAGAGATAGAGAGAGAGCGCGAGAGAGAGAGAGACTATCGTGATATCAGGGTAGCTACCACAAGTATTCAATATACATTATTATGATTGCACAGCTAGAGTATTGCATGAGTTTCTATACCATGGGCAGAAATTTGTGGACTTTTGATATTACAGGTAGAACGTCTATAGTCGTTTCTGCCCAGTATTGAATTGACCTTGTGGTATTAAAATATGTACAGGGTTCCGCCTTTTATATCAAGTTCAAACAAAGTGAATCGCTAAATGTCATTCGGCATCAGACTAGCAGGACTACAATGGTACCGGGAAAACCGGTTTGGCAGCTTATATCATATTGGATTTCGTTCCTCCAATTCTGATTTAACTCTAAATTTTGTTGTCATAATGTGATTAATTAATAATTAGAAAAAAAATACTGAATATGATGAATTATTTACACTGAATTTGTTAAAGAGTTACAATATCCGATAATGTGATATACAGATATGCTTACAAAGCGAGCTATGTGTCGCAGTAGGTCAAAGACTTCATTATCTTTAACAGATTTTAAATTGATTTTTATCGAATTGGTTTTTTGAAGACTTGAATTTGTCTTTTTCGAATGTGGACGCACACAAGAAAACGATCCTCTTGAAAAGAATCGGCCGGTCGCTTTCCTTTGCCTGCTTGTCCCGTTTGTCATATGATATGTACATACTGGTACTTGAAGATCTATATCTTTTTTCTTCTTTATGATGTATGTCTGTTATTTCATGCACCGTGTCCCCCTTTGTACCTCGTTGGTAGGACATGGGCCGGGAACCCCTCATTCATCACCTTTAAAAATTGTGTATGTATGGCCACCAGAAAGGGTCTATAGTAAGCTAACTGTGTCACAAAGATGTTCGGCTAATGTATAGAAATCGATGGCAATGTTAAACGCTAGTCAGACACATAGACACGCATGAGCGTGTATTAAAGCATTTGGTAGTCATAGGAATATGGATGTTAGTTTATCGAGATGGCATCCATATTCCTATGAATGCCAGTTGAAAATAATCTAATTTTAACACCTATCATTTTCAATTTTCATGTTGTTTTTTGGTCAGGCGGTCTCAATTTGTGCACTTAACTTGCAATATTGTTTTGTCGTTGGTTGTTCATTGGCTGTTTATATAACTGACTTTCGTACAGTCGCACCATTACATTTGTTTGTTTCCTGGGTTTATGGTCCAATGAACAATTGGGGTCATTTTTAGGCGGGGTATCATTTTAAAAATCTGATGATTAAATCACTGAACAACATACGTGAAGACCACCGCATGCCGTCTTGTGCGAGAGCAATACGGTGGCTTACCAGATGACACCACCACAGCAGCACCTTGGATCTTGTACTTGTGGGTGTCCACGGCTAGAATGCCCGATACCTCCCCTACCCTTACACGCTTTCTTAACTTGCACGTGCGGACAACGCGTCGCACTCCCATTGGACCATACAACTCTCACGAAGATATCCGAATACCGTACCTATAGGACAATTATTTTCCGCTATTCTCCGAAACGCGGAAAATATGAAATTCATGTTACGTTGGCTACCACTCTACCGACCGAGCCAGACAACGGTAAATTCACACATTAGATCATAAGCTACTCTTTCAAATTTCACAAAATGAATATATATTGTATTGTTAGTTGTTTCACGGGTCGAAATTTTCCAACAAGATTTTTTTTTATGATTTTATTTCAGCGAATAAAAAAAATCTGGATTTAAATGGACGTCAAATACAAACGTATCTCTTTATTTCATGGATTATATTTTCGCGATCATGTTAATGTACTACGAAATGACAAAATTATCGTCTCCGCGAAAATAACCGACAATTCCGTATATTTTTTTACAGTTTTAAGAAGATAACTCTTATTCACCTCTATGACAAACTTCTCTGACTCTGTCGTCACATGTCGTATTTTTGTTACACCGTAACCGCAAAGTGTTCGTACAATCACTACCGAAATTATTTTTATTTATAACGTAATTTTACACCGCGTATCTTATATCGCAACAGTTTTAGCGGCCGAAATATAGGTCGGTGTATACTGTCTTGGCATGCATCAGTTAGTAAACTAGAAAAAAATATAGCTTAGAACTAGGAGTTACACATTTTTGCGACAAAGGGAAGGATAGATGTAAAATTTTTGATAAAAATATTGAATTTTTTTAATAATGATTTTTAAACTTTGTTTCTTTTCAATATATCTGGAAATATTTTTAATACTTGAAAGTATTGTCGGCAGAATGTTGCACTAAAATTAACCATTCGTATCTAATTCTAAACTTGTATTGAAATGTCTTGTTCGTTTGTGTGTCTTTTATACAAACCTAATATACTAAAATTATTATTCTGTAATTATTCACAAATAAATCTGATTATGTTTGCTATCAATATTGTTGTAACTACTGTTTCATCTGCATTAACTGGACTACATTGACTTGTCTCGTGAATTCATTCGAGTATGTGTGCAATCATGCATGACTAGTTACTTAGTACTATCAGTTTGACGCAAGAATTCGAATTAAACTCATTTTACCGGTTCTTAAACACGAAATAAACCGCCCTCAAACGATGATACACATGACATTGCTCAACAATGATAGTTTTTATTCTCTTTTGTAAAGCACATCCTTTCACTACGGTAAGTAACTTTGTCTATTGAACTCTCTAAAATTTCAAAAAGCTATATGGAAAATAACGCTCGTGTATCATTTGTGTGTTTCATATTACTTCATTAGTGTTGTTCTTTGTTAATCATCAATGTTTGCTCACGTATTGCCTATAAAAAGCACTGTAATGTGTGATTGTGATGTTCTAATGGTGTAAACAATTAAAAAACATTAATGACAGAGAGGATAATGATAACCAGTTATTATCTAATGGGCTGGCTGTCTACTGTGAGGGGGAGGGGGTGATAGGAGGGGAATTTCAGTTCTATTTGCCGGTGTAAGACACTCTCTAGAGTCGACTTAAACACAAAATCTTAAATTTGAAACGTGATAAAATCAAAGAAAGTTTGGATCGGTTTGTAATAAAACACAGTAAACCTGTATAACAGAAGCGTGTCGGTGAAAGTTTGAAGATTATCTGTGAAAATTTGAAGAGTATCTGTTAAAGTTTAAAGAGTATCTGTGAGAATTTGAAGAGTATCAGTGGAAGACTGAATAATTTGAATGATACCCTTAAAGTTTGAAGGCTGTTTGTGAAAGTTTGAAGGCTGTTTGTGAAAGTTTGAAGGCTGTTTGTGAAAGTTTGAAGGCTGTTTGTGAAAGTTTGAAGGCTGTTTGTGAAAGTTTGAAGGCTGTTTGTGAAAGTTTGAAGGCTGTTTGTGAAAGTTTGAAGGCTGTTTGTGAAAGTTTGAAGGCTGTTTGTGAAAGTTTGAAGAAGAGAGTATTATTAAAATTTTGAAGGCTGTTTTGTGAAAGTTTGAAGAAGAGAGTATGAAGACGCTCCAGAAAAGTTCATGTACTCAAATGCCTGTCAGCGGTTTTTCAACACATTTTCTGTGTTCTCTCAGGCTTGATATCATACATGGCTGTACTTGCACTTTTAAAAAATGTGTAGGAAATTTGTCGCAAGTCCATGCTCCATGGCTCATGTTCATTGTGTTATGCAACACTTACATACAAAATGTCTAATACAAAATATCAGTTTGTAGATATAGTCTTTGCGGAACAAACAAACAAATAAACAAACAACAAACAAACACAAAGAAAGAAACAAGGATAGAAAGAAAATGTATGCATGTCATGCATCACAATGGACTTCTGTTGTGTTGATTCTCGATAGTGTTGTGGACAAGCCACTAAACACATATGTAATGGTATACTGACAACCAATGGCCACATATCTCAAACCCTGTTTATTTTGGGATCTTTTCACCGGTTATCATATAACATAAACATTATCCGGTTTATCATGTCTTCGGAGTATCGGGTTCTCGATGTATCAGGTATTTGGAGTATCGTGTTTTCGGTGTATTAGGTTTTCATATTATCGGATCTTCAGTGTATTAGATCTTTACAGTATTGGACTGTCGGAATATCGGGTATCCGGAATAGGTTTTATTGGGTGTATCAAGTATTTGGATTATCGGGTTTCTGGTGTATTACGTTTTTAAACTGTCGGTGTATTGGGTTTACGAAAGATAGGATATTTAAATTTTGTCAGTATCTAGAGACTCGAATTTCATCAGTATTGGATATTCGGATTATCGAGTCCTTTGAGTAACGTGTATTTGGGTATCGGGTCATCGGGTATCGGCCTTTACCACGTCCGGTGTACGAAGTGTTGGATCCTCTGTGTATCGAGTCTTCGGAGCAATCGATCACCGGTCAGCTATCTGGTCTTTGAAGTATCGGAAATTTAGTGTATCAGCTCTCCAGGTATAGAATCTTTGGTATTGGGTTTCCGGAAAAAGATGTCACACTCTCCACAACCTGGTGATTCCTCGCTTTTGGTAACTTTTAGATATACTCTCTGTCCTTAATCCCCAAATCCTTTGAATTAAACCAACCTTTAATAATCATCATTTAAAGTGAAAAGATATTCTAATATCAATATATATTTTCAGTTTTGGACCAAACCATTTTATTCCAAAAATTCACAATTAGATATCGGAATATTCCGATTTTCTCTGTCTGTGGCGAATGTTGGAAATGTCAGACTTTAAATTGTTTCATCCTGATTAAAGTTAAATGTTATACGTTAATGTGTATGTGATGGTTTATTTCTATTTCGGGAGAAGTCATTCACAAGTTAAGACAAAACTTACTGACTATTCTTTCTGACATTTTAGAGGTCAATAAAATATGTTTTAGCTAACTGAAATTGTTGTAAGTTAGACACCTAACTTCGAAAACATTAAATATATCTATACTCATTTTCGTTACAGGTGAAGTATTTGCATAATTAGAATCAAATTAAATCCATGTCTAAAAATAGGCATTATCGTGATCATAACATCTTAAAATTGATCTCATCACCAGCTATATCCGGAGCAAACATGATCATCCACAAGGATTTTGATAAACTTGGCTACCGTCAAAACATAATTACACGGGGTTTTGTTTTCGTTGAATTCGTGGTTACTAAATCCACAAATTTTACAAGTCCACGAAATTGTGAACTGATGAATATTGATATGGATCAAAATACTAGTGGATTTCGTGATCAAGAAAATTTATGTTTCTGTAAAACCCCGAAACTTAAGCTCGTCCAAAATACAATGTGCGTGTATATGATTTTTACAGTGTTTACTATAAATTTTTGTCGCTTTTCCCTATGTAAATGAGTGGGAAGGGGAGTGTTGAATTGTATTATGTAGCTCTGACTAGATAGTTTTATGATAGACCACGCACATGTTTGAAAATGTATTTAAAATACGTTTTACCTGAATACCTGGGCGGTTGAAATACGAAATAACCTTATTCTCTTCACTGGAGAGAGAAAACACTTGAATTATCAAAACATTAAGTGTCTTTCTCGTGGTTTCATTAAAAGATTAAGTTTCACCCTGTCAAATACTAGATGCAAGCCAGGTCAGGTCCTATCCTATGGACATAATTGGAAACGAATACTGAATTTTAACGTCTGAGTCACTTACCTTTACTTACTGTCAAATATTTATATGTCCGTTAAATCTTTTCTTTGCGATGAAATTTATATACTCGCAAAGATTGGATTCCGAAAGTATCGTCTCAGGTTTAATGTATCAGCCATAACTTATAGGAGGTCACGAATTCACGTGATTTTATCAGCCCGTGGAAATAAAACAAAAGAGTTCCAAAATGAATAATTCTTATATTGTTTACAATAAGGATGTTTATAAGGGAAATCCCTATCGTTATTTTGTATATACATTAAATGAATTGAGAACTTTGCCAGATGCGTTAATATTTTTGGGGCCGCGATAGCCAGTAGCTGGAGCACCAGCCAACCATGTCCAGGTGAAAACCCGGACCTCGGGTTAACATCCAACTTTACCCATGATGGTTTGTGAACAAACCGATATTGTGCTGCCGTACTTGTGTCCTTAGGCATGACACTTTACAATAATTAACCCTGGCTGACATGCGATGTGCCTCCCGTATGTTATTCGATGAGATAGCGACCAGCTACTACTAAGAACCCCGCCTCAAAATGGCACTGAGTGATCATTGACGATAACCATGCCAGCACATCTCAACATTTTAATTAAATCGAAAAAGTCGACACGACATCTTCTGATTTATCTAGAATAAGTTTAATAACGGCTGGTAGAAATCAATAGATATGAAAATCAAAACTTTGCTATAAAGTAGGTCCTTTTCACACGGATATAAAATTTTCTCTGAAATTTTACTGAAAAAACGAGGGATGGGTTGATCACTGTCACTTGAAGAAGCAGGTTTTGTATTTCACAATGACCTTGCACTTTTCAAAATGTCTGGTGT